TTCTTCAAAATGATGAGAGAAAATGATAACCTAGAATTCTATACCCAGCCAAAATACCATAAAAGGTGAGGACAAAATTAATACATTCTCAGACAAACTCTGAAAGAGTTTACAACTAGTGACACTGACTAAAAGAACCTCAAAGGTTTGTTTTTCAGAAGGAAAGTAATTAAAGTTAGAAACAGTGGGATACAAGATGGAATGACAAGCAACCTATGGCAAACCTAAACACATACTGAAGTTAAAAACCAAAACTTTAAGGGATGAAAAAGTTAGAGACATCTCTGGATAGGAAATAACGATAAGGTATAAGTTAAAGTACATTCTACTCAGGAGATATTGATTAATTCTAGCCTTTGTTAATCAGGTGTACATGATGGGTAATGACAAGAAATTCTGGAAAGATGGCTGTGAAGCAAATTTATTTTAGATCTTTCCAAATCCCCACATAAAAACAGAGAAACTAGATAATACCAAAACAAAAAAACAAACAAAAGGCCCATGAACAATATTTATGATAAAAGTAGATAAACAGGTAACCCACAAAGTAAAACAGAAGGCAAATCAAGTGCCACAGAGCTGTGATGTACCGGCATCTACTATATGGTAAGAAGCAGAGAAGCAATAGGGCATCTGAAGCACCCAAAAGAGTCAATGAATATTCATGGCGAAGCTTGACAAGCCAATCTGAGACTAGCAGTTGCAACTGGGTGAGTTTTTGCCTACTTCAATAGTGGGTAAGTTAAAAGGGGCCCATGGTGATTCATGTTGATGTTTGGTAGAAACCAACACAATACTGTAAGGCAATTATCCTTCAAATTAAAAACAATTTTTGTTTTAAAAAAAGGGGTCCCTGGATAGTGTGAAAAGGGGTGAAACACCCATCCTCCAGGGTTCCTTTCCAGGATAAGACCCCACCCTGGGGAGGAAATGCTGAGCAGGATAAAAGAGAGGAAATGCTGAGTAGAATAAGAGCTGAGCAGGACAGGACAACAGAGACATGGAAAAGTGAGGGCTCAGATAAAAATGGAAGAGGAAAGCCAAGGAATCTCAGAAAGCACAGTATTTGTTTAATATTATGCAAAGGCAATAAAGACTTCATACTAAGTCAGAAAAGTCATTCGAATCAAGACTCCTTCTTTAACAGTACAGACAAACTGTTATCATTATGCCAAAACCCAAGGAGTACTGTTTCCATGAGACTTTCTTGAGGAATCTGCAAGAACATGCTTCAGACAACAAAAATTAACTAGAAATATATTAATATATGACTAGCAGTGAGCATAAAACACATAACTTATATAATAAAGTACATTAAAAAGGAGAGTGTAGTATGTGATGGCAGAAAAGTATTTACTACGGCAAGGTATTAAGTAACACTACTTAAGTATTTAAGGAGATGAAGAAAACTCCTTCCTCCTCTCTCCCTTGCTCACTGTGTGCCAGCTCCATAGCATTTTTTCCTTCACAAACTCCTTCCTAGAAGGAGCTAGAAAACTAGAAAGGGTTCATATGGCCAAGGCCTTAGGTGTGCATGTTATTGTACAGAAATTAGGAACAGCTGGAATATTCAGGGCAGGACGTGAAAAGCACTTCCCCAGCAATAGAAAGAAGGTTGGTTGTTTAGAGGGAAGTCAGACCAGAGCAAGGAGAGGAGTTCTGAGCAGTATTTGTGACCCTTGATTTAGCCTCCATACTCTTGAGGGATATGACTTAGTCCTATGAGTAAAGGTGGTGCCTGCCTTATAGCAGTCAGAAAGAGACGTGAAGGTAGGAAGCCGAGATCTAGATGGGATGGAACTTTAGAGGGAAAACAACACAAAAGAGCAAAAGCACCCTGGCTAAATTTCCTCTCACAGTCATAGCATTTTTTTAAAATTACAAAACAAAGTTTTCTCCCACTGATTACCTTAGTGCTTTGTCAGCTTGAGGTAAACAGCACTGTTTACTAGTCTGACAACCTCGTTTTAAAAATAAAGAGTTGAAATTCAGGCTGAGCATGCCTTGAGAAGTCACACAGCCAGGAAGATCCCCAAAGTCCTTGAGATGGCTATCATGGTGTGATTATGGAGAGGAGGGTTGAGGGCAGGAGGCATCTGAGCTCCTGGGACACAAACCCAACCCTCAGGGCAGAGGCAGGTCTCATTTCCTTCCTAATTCACCTGGAAAGTGGTTATTCATTCCTCTACAAAATGACATGCCCCGGACACTCTCTGGATTCCAGGAGTCCTGGACTGAAGTTACCCTGGCACAGAAGTCACAACACTCTTGCTTCGGCATACACCTCAGTTACAAGTACTTTCAACTCACCAAACGCTGAAGGTGGGAAAGGTGACAATTGGGGGGCAATCAAGGGTGATTCCTTCTGTGGAGCAGTGGATGTTGTGAGGGTGGGTGTCAGCTCAGGAGGGACCCCTGTGCGCACTTCTCTTCCCTACGCCACCTTCAGCTGGGTTAGCTGGGTACCTTAAAATCTGCCATGGCAGGACTTTACACCATGGAAAATGGCAAAAGCTACAAATGAGTGGTTTCATTTGTTTGTTTTTTCCTGAGAGTCAGTTATTAAACGTTTACCAGCTTGTCACTGGTCACTGGCGACCATGTTAGTGTGTCTGAGCTTCTGGTGCTCAGAAAGAACCTCTTAATTCTTTGGAGAAGAAACAGCACTGCATCCTGCACAAATAGGTGTTTATTGCTCTGTGAAAGGAATACTTATCACTTCCTATAGTGCTTCAAGTTTTCAAAGTTTCTAATTTATCTTCTGGAAAAAAACATTATCACTGTCAGCCTGAGCCCTGAATCTCATTCATTTTCGCATCCTCAAAGAACTTTACTCCACAAATGAATCCTTCTTTTCTGGCATTCTTTCAACATATATCCATTTCCAAGTGCCACTCCCCACCGTATTTTGATTTTTTTGAAGACCATCTTTCAATACAGCACTGCCCTTCTCTTCAGAGCCAAGACTTTTCAAAGGTGCTTGAATCCTCACCTCCACCCGGGCTCCCACCCACTTCTCCCCACCCCACACTACACTGTTCTAAGGTCATACAAGACAGAGGAACCAAACCATCTGGCACCTCAGCCCTACTCTGACTCAATGAAACTCCCTCCTCCCTAACCCCCTTGACAATCTGAGGCACATTTTCCTACGGTTTATCTTCTACCTCTATGCCTGCTCCTTCTCCACACACAGGGCTTCTTCTCCTGACCTGAAATATCTGTGTAAATGTGTAGAGGAAACTCACCCAACTGACGGCTAGAGACGTCTGGGGCATCAAGGAATCCCGGGGTGTCAAGGAGGGTGCCTAACTTACAAATTGCTTGAATGCTCCATAAAAAGCTGCTACTTACACAAGTTTTAAAAAATTAAGTGACCCCAAGTTTTCATTCTCCTCTATAAACATTCACAGTTCACTACAGACATGGCCCACAGGGCATTAGCTGCCACCTGCATGCTGCCATCTCCCAATTCTGCTCTCGTCTGTGATCCTAATAAGCTCTAGGTTCTAACACTCAGAAGTCTAAAAGCATCCATCTCCACCTGGATCTTACACACACATACTGCAAACTCAGCACTGCACACCACACCTCTGTTGAACTCCCTCTCACACAGGGCAGGGACCATCAGCAATAAACATAAATCAAATGCCTGAGGCTGCCTGGACTCTTCTTAAACCCTCCACATAGTCAGAAATGCTGATTCTAGGTCCAAATTTCCCTCAAAACCCTGATCCCTTCTTTAACTCAGGCCCTAATTTCTCATTTATATTGGGGAAAAACCCAAATTGGTCTTCCTGGGTATAATCTCCCATCTCTTTCAATTTATGCCCCAAACCATAATCAGAAAAATATTACTGAAGTACAGAGTGAAACACATCATCCTTCCAACTAAGGCCCCCCATAAATCCCTAATCATCACTTCTAAACCCCCAGGTGGTTATCACAGCACTAAAGATAAAATTGCAACAGAATTCAAAGCTGTTTGTGACCTTCCTTTACTAGTAGTTCTCGTATTCTGCTCAGGTTAAACAACTTTAAGTTCCTGAGAATGTATTTCATTTTCACTGTTTGCCAAAGGTCATCTGTGCTAAGTAGCTTTCTTGGAGTGGCTTCTTCCTGAAGGCTGGGCATGGATGCCCTGTGTTTCCATGGCACCTGACTAATCGTGGTACTTACTATACTGCTGTAACAGTCAACTTGTCAGCTCACTACAAGCTTCTGAAGACACAATGTCTCACTTTTGTACCTGTACTTGGTCTCAGGGAGGCTGGGAGGGGAAGGGGTGACTGAATAAATATTCATAAATCTGAGTCTTAAAAGGGACCTCAGAATTAACTCTGCTTCATCCTCCATATCTTCACTAAATCTGTTACCCTGTTTAACTCCTTTGCTAAATTAATGTCCAGCCTTTTCAATGCCTCTTGTGATAGGGAAATCACTAGTAAACACCGACGCTCAACAAGGCTTCCTACCATACATGTACACAGAGTTCACTACAAGGAACTCATGGCTCACAGTCTGCTGAAAACTTATCCAACAGGAAGTTCAAGCCCCTGCTGTGGCCATGACTGGAAGCTGGCTTCCAGATTCACAGGTCTCAGAAACACTGCATGGCAAAAGGAACACTGGCAGGATGGCTGCTAGAAATGAATCTGGGAAGAAGAACCGTGCACCCAGCAAAGAGGAAGCTCACAGCCCCAGGAGATAGCTGGCACCCAGGGTGGGCCCTTCAACCAAATGGAAAAGCTAAGTCTGCTCAGACTTAAATCCTAGCCAGAAGCAATTTTATCAGTGTTAAACATTTAACCTTTTGGAAAAGAGCTCTTTAAAAACAATCAAGTTGGAACATTTTCTTAGAGTTAAAACAGCTGGGATTTCCCCAAACTCTTGCTGTGCTTTCAATGTTTAGGCTCCAGAAGTGCCACACTGCAAAAAGAGAAGTCTAATGGCACCATTCAGCCCTAATTCCAAGACAGTCTAAAAGAACAGAGGAAATATGATTAGAATCAATGGTTTTATTGAAGGTTAAGGTACTCAAATGTTAACAGGTCATAGGCAAAGGGAAGAAACAGAAGTCTCAGATGCGCTGGTAGAGGAGGGAGGGTACAAACAACTCTGCCCGACAAACATTCCAGATCCAGGGCTTCCATACTTCTCCAAGGCTTGATTTCTCATGGGTCACTTTCCATTCAAAGGATTTTAGGGACCAAATGCAACAGGATTCCTTCAGTTACCAACCAAGAGTCTTTGGGTCTTCTCTCAGGCAAGGCATCCAGTGAAAATAAGATCTAGTTTTCAGATTCCTCTGGAGGATTAAAAAGTCTCTTTCGCATTGCGTTGCCAAGTTCCCTGCTCTTGTTCCTCTTTTCCATGTACTAGAAAATAAAAGGAAGGGGAGAGAAAAGAGACAGCAGATTATGTCACTATTTACATACTAAGCTTATAATATACACACCAACAAAGATATATTTTAAAGGTGCAAGAGGAGTTCTTAGGTAGAGTGGGAAAAAAGTAAAAGCAGATTCAAGTTGAAAAAACTGAGTACATGTAAACAGCTGGACATCAAAATCTTTCAGCCGTCAGACACAGAAAGAAGCCAAAGAAACAAAAGATTAGTGGCAGAGCACTAACCAGGAGCTCCAGCTTCCGTCCCCTGAGCCCTGACATTCATGTCTTTGAGGTACTTACTTGATTTTCTGGGCCAGTAACCTCAAATATAAGGAGTTGGGCTAGATAATCTTTAAGCAGTTTTCTAAGTCTAAAGTTTTGACTCAAGAGTTCTAACATATCTTCTGGAATAGTAGCAATTTTCAAACTTGTTTTTTTCCTCATCGAAGGGCCACTTCAAGTAACAGATGAAGCACCAGGTCTCTTTAACAAAAACATTCCTTTTATCTGTCCTACATTAATTTTCCTGCTAGGGGGAGAAGGGCATATTATTGCTTTAAAAGGTTAAAGAAAAAAATTCTAGAACATGGAGGGATACCTGCTCTGAGAAAAATATTTGATATCTCTCTTCATATCATATGAAGCTTCTAAAATCAGCTTGGAAAGAAGATTCTAAAGTAAGTCTTCAGAAGACAGTACTTTGTAGCCAATAAAACAAGTCATAGAGCAAATTAAAACAGAGCTTATATTAAAATATATGTTATGAAATCTCCAGAAGGAGTCAAGATGGCCCCTGAATTAAAAAAAAAAAAAAAAAAAGATACAAAGGGTGACTACTAAGTTATTCACAAAATGCCACCAAACAACGCAGAAACCAAACCAAACAAGTAAGAGGAACAAAAGAGGACACTGCAAAACTAGTAGTATTAGTGATTATTTTAATAAAAAGGACAAAAGCAGCAACACAGCAGCAAAGAGAGGGTCAGAAAGAACTGGCCAGACCTTTTTTCTAGTTAAAAGCTAGAATGAAGTACTTAAATGACACGTGAAGGAAATGGTAGGAGGAGAACATCAGGAGCAGTAAAAGGGAAACTGGGAAGCATTAAAAGCAGAGAGGAAATAAATGGATGGGCACACGTTTGGAGAACTGAAGGATGAAAGAACAGATAGAAAACAATCTATAAATCAGGAAATGAAGCAACATAAAAACCACAGAGAGGACTAGAAAGTAGTCAAGGAGAAAATCTGAAATTTATACAAAAACAAACTGGGACAAAATAAGAATTTAAAATTTAAAGGATTAAATCTACCAACATTCTTCTACCAAATAGTTCCTGACAGCTCAGGACCACCTGGGGGGGAAATTTTCATATGAAGATATAATCACCAAACCAATGACAAAAATCACTAAACTGTGAGGATAAAAAAAATCTAAACTTAGGAAAAAGGCTATCTTACACAACTGCAAGCACGTAAGAAATAAATACCTATACCAAATAAAACAGTATGGGCTTATTTTTCCATAATCTTATTTAAAAAGGAAGACAGCCCTAGGTTTAGCTTCCATACAAATACCCTTTACATATAAAGAAAAAGTGTTTCAAAAATCAGTTTAAAACATGTATACATATACCCATTTGTGCACATGAAGAAAATTATCAGAACTTCAGGAAGCTCTTCAAACAGTAAAGATGCTGTAAAGGGATTCCAGGAAGGAGGGAGGAAAAAAGCCCAAAGTAGAAACCAGGAAAAAATGATTAAAGATAGACGCTGAATGTCTTCAAATATCTAATACCTTTCAATATGAGGCTCATGGGGGGAGAAAGTTTAAAAGTACAGAAAATGAAAATTGGAAGGCAGATTTTTAGTAGTTACATATTTTTAAAGGTTCTGGACATAAAATTTCTGATGAATAAAACAGAAATGGAATTAAATTTCTTTTCAAAGATTTTAAATGCACTCTGTTCAGTCTGCGGTACCTACAAAAAGTCAATAAACTTTGGCTATTTGCCCAAGTCCAAGTCATAACCTAAAGCTGTGTTCAGGAAATGAGTCTTTCCAAACAAGTCAAACTAGATCCCTATGGGCTGTATATACTATAATTATAAAGAAATTCCAAATTTTAAAGCTGGAAAGAGCCTAAATCTAGCCTCCTCATGTTATACCAGGAAATTGAGGCCCAGAGTTTTAGTTACCTGCTAGAGCTAAAAGCTGATCAACAATTCTTTCTGCTGTACAGATTCAACTTCTCAAACCTTAAAATTCATCCAGAGGAGTTACAGTGATTATTATAAAATACTTGCTTTCATTTATGTACATGCAAAAAAATCAGCAATGTTCCAAAACTGTCCCCAGAAGATGCTTTCATTTCTCCTCTTGACTTTAGGGGAAGACATACCTATAAAGTCAAGTTTTGGTGTTATATGGAAACTTGAAAAAAAAACAACAACTTAATAATGGTATTAATAAATAATATTGCTCCAAAATATTCTTTTCTACTGCTCAATCATTTCCATTCTTTAATGTTTTCCTTACCTCATTCTTCAAGCATTTTCTCATCTCCCGATCAAGATCATTGCAATGACCAAAAAATTTCAGAATGCTGTGCTAAAAGGAAGAAAAGGGGTAAAATATTTCATCCCATGATATGCTAAGGTCTCTGGCTCAGAATTGAAATACTTAATGTGTCACCTTGTCAATGAGCAAACGGCTAATAGTTAATCAAACAGTTAACCCACAAGTACAAAACATACAAATAAATGGGCTTACCCTAGCATTCCTACAAAAAAGGAAGGAATGTTCTATAGGTAGAAATGAAAAATAAAAGACTCTTCTTTGATAGAAGAGAAGCCTATTAACCTGCCAAAACCTCATAATGACCTAGTGAAAAGCATTTTATTATCTAATACCCTTTCTTTAAGGGCATGTTATCCATCCTCTATTACAGAGTGATGTCAAAATGCAGTGTAGCCATATTGACATGACAGTAACTTCCTTCATGAGCAAACACTCCTGTCCCATAGAAGAGTAACCTATGAAACGCTTGGTGCCAAAGCCATTTTCTCATTTGCCCCTATTCAAAATGTCATCAAAATAAATAAAAAACACATAACACTAACATTACACAGCCTGTATGGGCCATATACAAGTCACTAATTCACAATAAAAGGAAATCAATGCTTAATATTCAAAGTCTGTTCTGCTTTGCCATAATTAGTGTGTTTGCACATTGCCATTTTTAAGTGTAGGTCAGAGAGCATGGTGATCTCCTATAATGACATGCCATAAATGTTGAACTTGTAAAATAAGCACTTTTCCCCTTTTCTTTATAATTAAGGATTTCATGGAAACCAGACAACACATAATTAGTAATAGTCATGCTATTAGTAACAGTCATGCTATCTCTTTTTTCCCTGTTTCTTTACCACTTTAAATGTACTTTTCTTGTCCACACTGAATAAATGATCAGAGTTTTTCTGGCAAGGATTTAAGGTTTCCTAGTGATTACCTAATGACCTTTTCAGGATAAATAATTCCTTTGCATAAACTACCTCCTTGACAATACAAAGGGACAATGCTTTTTCATACACCTTCTGGCCAAATAGAAACAATAGACAGGATTAAATTTTTAGAATGTAAGGCAATATTTCATAGTTTACTTTATATTTATTGATATCATCCCATATTCATACATCTTATTTTAAAAATTCAAGACAAAAAAATTTTTTTTTAAATTCAAAATAAAAGCTAATTTATACTCTTAACTTTCACCTCAACATTAAACTCAAATGAGAATAATACTCTGTGACGTTACATGAAAAACAAACCCAAAAATGCCCCAGTGGCAGTGATAAAAGAAATGTCCATGAATGTGGAGGAAAATGGACACATGTGTATGTATGGCTGAGCCTCTTTGCTGTCCACCTGAAACTATCACAATATTGTTAACTGGCTATATTCCAATATAAAATAAAAAGTTGAAAAGTGAAAGAAATGCCCTTGGACTGCACTGCTCTTGTATACACATGGCAGGAGCCTCCAGTGCCTGGTGTCTATTTCTAGAGAGCAAACTGGCAGAGCTCCTGACTGGACAAGTGAATCAACCAGGGTCTGGAGGACAGGGTCCCAGCCACTTGGGACACAGCAGTAAGCATGGTGGGCCTGGGCCCCACTCTCACAGCCCAGAGTCAGAAGGAAGAGACAAAACAGGAAGTGATCACTATACAGCAGCAGTTCTCAAAGTGTAGTCCCAGGACTATTCAAAACCTTTTCAGGAGAAGGTAAAACCTAACTTCCTAATAACTGAGGATCTTATTTGTTTTGTTCACTTTCATTCTCTCACAAGGGTACAGTAGATTTTTCCAGAGGCTACATGACCTGTAATATCACCACAGATTGAGCATAGTGGCACATATGAGAATCCAACTGTATTCTATTAAACCAAACATTAAAAAGAACTGCAAAAATGTAAAAGCAATGTCATTCTTTTCACCCTTTTATTGTTTTGGAAAATAAGGTATTTTTTATGAAAAATAACTATTAATGTGTAATGGTTTGTTATTGTCATTTAAAAATAAATATTTTTCAATTTCTCAGTTTTAACTTCTAATTCAACAAATATTGACAGATATAGCCCACATAAACAAAAGTTCTTTGGGGTCCTCAATAACTCTGAAGAGTGTAAAGGAGTTCTGAGACTAAAAAGTGTGAGAGTAACTATACATAAAGTATTACTGAAGTATAGAGTAATTATACCAAGGGAATCCAGGCGAAGAAAGAAAAGGAAGAGGAAAGGATAAATTAAGCAGAATAAAGCCTGGAGGATGATAAAACCTTATCAAGCAAGTGAGGAGTGGAGACAGTGAGGAAACCTTTAAGTAAAGGGAAAAAGCAAGTACAAAAGCCTAGAAGAGAGAAACAAGCTCCAGTACAACTGCAGACAGAGTGAGCAGGAAGGATGCGGGGTAGGAGGGTGGTCAAGCCCAAGTGTAAGCAGGGCCAGTACATGAAGGCCTCAAAACACAAAGAAATGTAGAATTTATTCTACAGGCAAAGGGAGCCACTAAAGGGGAACAATGATTAAACTTAGGACTGAGAGATCAGTCTAGACGCAATGCAAGTAAATTAAGACAGAAAAGAGGACAGAACAGTCATGGGACCAGGTGGCCCCAGTAAGAGAATGTCAAAATCAACTGTGTTAAGAATAAACAAATAAATCAGTGGAACAGACTAGAGAGCCCAGAGGTAGGCCCATTCACATATGGGCAATTGATTTTTGACAAAAGCACCAAGGTAATTTAGTGGGGAAAGAAAGCTCTTCACCAAGTGGTGCTGGAATAACTGGGTATCCACAGGGAGAGAAATAAACCTTGACTCATACCTCAAAACATACACAAAAATTAATTTGAATCACAGACCTAAATTTCAAAAACTAAAACTATAAAATTTCCAGAAGAAAAAAATAGGAGAGAACTCTTTGCGACCAGGAAATTGACAAAGATCCCTAGAACAAAAAAAAAATAAATAAATAAACAATGAATGAAAAGCCTGGTAAATTATTACAGACTTCATCAAACTTACAAACTCTTTGTAACACATCTTTAAGAAAATAAAAAAGGACGCCACAGGCTGGGAGAAAATATTCACAACACACTTTGTATGTCAAATGATAAAAAGAATTCTTACAATTCAATAACAAGACAAACACCCAATCTTTAAATATAGGCAAAAGACATTATGTGAATGGCCAATAAGTACATGAAAAGATGCCTAAAGTCATCAGCCAGAGGGAAACACAATTTAAAACCAAATAATATACTATTACACATCCACAGAATGGCTAAAGTTAAAAAGACTTACAGTATCAATTCTTAATCTAGATGTATGGCGGAAATAGTTTGCTGAAAGTGTATTGTCATCAGCAGCATTCTTTGAAATGCTGTTTCAAAGAATATCGGACTTTACAGGTCATCAACATTCCTTACTACCTCACTTTTGTTCTTAAGATTTTACTCATTTAAATAAGAATCTGATATATCTACAGTTTATGAAGAACATGAAGGAAATAATGCATCATGCAAAGTTAAAAACACAAATGCTTCTTATAACTGTCTCATACACCAAATGTATTTAAAAAAAACACACAAAACTTTGACATCTGTAAATGTCAAATTTAATGTATTGCAAAAACGGGTCTATTTTCTATTTTGGTTTTAAAAATGGAATTTTATTTCCATTCCACTAACCAGGAGGGCATGGCAACCCACTCCAGTATTCTTGCCTGAAGAATCCCCATGGGCAGGGGAGGCTGGCTGGCTACAGTCCATGGGGTCACAAAGAGTCAGACACGACTGAGCGACTAAGCACACAGCAACCATTAAGTAAACCTGCCAAATGAGGCCAGTCATAATTTAAATCTAGTTAACATGTAATTATAAAAAATGTTTCAACTTCCTTTAAGCACATAATGATGGATGTCAAGGAACATGGATTGTAACTACTATGTATCACTTCAGAAGCTCCCTAATAAAATTACTAGGCTTGATTAAGGAAGTAGTTTCTAAAACCAAATAACAAGCATCAACTGCTAATCTTTACTAAGCTAAGACCCATACTAAGACATTATCATTTCCTTCTATTAATGGAGATTTTACATCACTGTATTGTATCTAGGTTTCACTGTTGCTTCAGGGTTATTTTCTGAACTCTTACATTTTTGTGACATTCCTTAAGCAAGTTAATCAAGACGTTGCATTCTTCAGTATGCAAGTGTGGAGATAAGTCAGGATGCATCTTTAGGAGGAGATGGAACACAGCAGAGCAACCTGTGGATACAAGAGTGTCTTGAATATGTGTGACTGTATTTGTTAATGCGATCTAAAATTATTTTCCGTAAGAAATTTCAGTGACCTTTATCAGAAAAGAAAGGTGACCTTAGGCAAATTAAACCTGAGCCTCATCTTCCTATCCAATGACTTAGATCCCGTGGGTTATCAGGAGTATTTAGAGAACATGCAGGTTCAGAAAAAAGCAGACTCAAGACACCCGATCCTCGAAATAGGTGCTTTACCAGAAACAGCTTGCCTATGTTAACAAGCCTGACTTCAATTACTTTTCCCATATTCCTGAAATAGATTAAAACTCATTTTATTCAGGTAAAATCCTACCAATGAAGAGAACTGGCCTATTAACCCTTTTTAAATGTATAAGGGTTAAAGGGCCATTAGTCTCACATTAGTGTGAATTAATATAGACTGCTTTCTTCCTAAGTAACATCTGGCTGAGAAAATCTTAACTAAACCATGAAGAGAAACAAGATGTAGGTGTGGATTTTTTCTCAAATTTAGCAGATCTATCCATAAAATGCAATTATTACAATGAAAACAAAAAGCTAAAAATCCCTGAAATTAGGTTTAATTGGTTCATTCACAAAAAAGAAAATTAGCATCCAAGGTCTAAGATAAAACATTATTTTGAGGTGTTTGCTATAGTTACAGTCACCTATTTCTCTATTCACCCATTTCTCTCTTAAACCAATTCTTTATAACCCAGAAGAGATTACCAAAGGAAAGAACCAATTAACTACTTCAGTCTTTTAAAAGTTCCAAGAAAGAAAACATAGGAGAAATCATGACAGTAGGTTGGGCAAAAGTGAGTGAAGTGAAGTCTCTCAGTCGTGTCCGACTCTTTGCACTCCCATGGACTGTAGCCTACCAGGCTCCCCCATCGATGGGATTTTCCAGGCAAGAGTACTGGAGTGGGTTGCCATTTCCTACTCCAGAGGATCTTCCGGACCCAGGTATCAAACCCAGGTCTCCCGCATTGCAGGTAGACGCTTTACCGTCTGAGCCACCAGGGAAATCCATTAGGTTGGGCAAAGATACATCAAAATCCTTAAAAGAATAAATTGGTTAAAACTTATCAAAATTAAAAACTTTCCATCTTCAAAATTAAGAAAATGAAAAGACAAGTCACCCTTTGGGTGATAATGACATGTTAATGTAGGCTCATCAATTGTAATTAACATACCACTCTTGGAGGATGTTGACTATGGAAGAGAGGCAGGGCATCTGTGGGCAGAGGGGGCCTAGGGGGTCTCTCTGTACTTTCTGCTCAATTTTGCTAGGAACCTAAAACTGCTCTAAAAAATAAAATAGTGTGTAGCTGCTCTACAAGCTACACACTAAAGGAAAATATTTGCAAATCATATATGACAAAGGATTTGCACCTAAAACATATAAAGAAAGTTTTCAAACAATCCAGTGTTTAAAATATACCCCCAAAATGGGCAAAAGATTTAAACAGATATTTCACCAAAGAGGATATAGGAATGGTTATTTAAGCACATGAAAAGATGCTGAACATCACTAGTCACTAGAGAAATGGAAATTTAAACCACAATGAGACACTACATCCAACCAGAATAGCTATAATCAAAAAATTAGACAGTAGCAAGCACTGCTTACAATGTGGTGGAAAGGGATCTTGTACAATGCTACTGCGAAGGTTAAGTAGTACAGACACTTTGGAAAACTATTTAGTAGTTTCTTAAGTTAAATATAAACTTAACATATGACCTAGAAATTTCTCTCCTAAGAACACACCCAAGAGAAATGAAAACATATATCCCCACAAAGATTTACATATGAATGTTCATAGCATTATTCATAACAGTCAATACTGGTAACAATCCAAATGTCTAACAACCAAGTACTGGATAAAAAAATTTGTGTATCTACTCAATGGGACACTATTTAGCACTAAAAAGGAATAAACTTATGCATGTGCCTACATGGAGGAATCTCAAAAGCACTAAGCTAAATGAAATAAAGTAGACTCAAAAGACAGTACTGTATGATTCTATTTACATGCAACGTCTAGAAAAGGCAATTTTGTAGAGGCAAAAGCTGATCAATGTGGAGGTCCAAAGGTGAGAGTGAGGATTAACTTGCAAATGGCAAAAAGAAAACTTTGGGTGACAAAAATGTTCTAAAATAGGATTGTGGTAATGGTTGCATAATTGTATAAGCTTACTAAAATCACTTAATCCACTTAGAATGGGCAAATTTTACAGTATGTAAATTATGCCTTAATAAAGTTGTGAAAAAAGTTTCAAGAAATTCAAACAGCCTATCCACCTTCTACTCTTGACAAACGAAACCCTTAAAAATGACTAAACAAATAATTGCAGAGAATTATACCTACTACTTCAGATTTCAACTTCTAAAAGTATCAAATCACTGTTCCACTGAGTGACTAATAACCTCAACCCCACCCCCTGCCACACACACAAACATACCACAGCTAAAGATCACAAATCAGGCCATTGTGCCAAGTTAAAATACTTGAGTATTGGAAATGGAAACTGAAAACGCAGCCAAGTTCAAGTTTTGTTTGCCTGTCACTGACTACAATCTTTTAAAATGATATAAATATTCTACCTCAGAAAAAAGAGGTCTCATACAATACAGCAATTTAAGTCATCTAATATTATATCAATATTATACACCTACACTTATATATAGTAAGAGTTATCTGGCTTCTGCCTTGCTTCTTTTTTCTGAAGGAAGATGTACACTGGTTTTAGTCATCTAGAAAATGTCTTTAACATTTTATTTTGTAAGCATATTTAACAAAATATTTTTGCATATATCTATGAACCAGCCCTCAAATGTGTGCTTTTACAGTTCAGAAACAAACTTCTGAGGTACTGAAAAGCCCTCTCTAATTGGCAAAGTAAATACTTAAGAAAACACTTGGGTACTGAGATAAACACACATATGCACATTGTATATAAGCAAAAATATATACCATGGTACATATTTTTTTTCTCCTTCCTTAAAAGTTTACTTCAAATGTGTATGTTACTCTACACACAGCCATGGTGTACTTCTACCTACTTATCTCCCCTTCTACCTACTTATCCTAGATGATTATATCAAATATGAAAATGGTTTCATATATAGTAGTTTCCTTTTCTTGTTCTTTGTGAAAGCTATTATTTAACTTAAAGCTCTAAACACTTATCTTATCCCTTACCTGACAAATTCCTCGTTTTATCAATCATTCCCCTCTTGCCTCTACCCTTTTAGTTAGATATTCTCTTCCTCCCCCTTCCTTCCATCCACCAGCTTTGGCTAACTGTTGGTGCATACGCATATGTACTGGGGTACTCTTGGGTATAATATACAAAGTATAACTATAAAACAATAACATTGTTCTTAGATCACATTTAGATGAATGCTGACACCTTTCAGTAGTCATCTTTAAAAGCCTATTCTAATAACACTATTATAACTCAAGTAAAATTTCATGAAATGAATAAAAGTCAAATATATATTCCATATTCTTATTTTTAAAATTTGTTCAAAGCTGTAACAATATATTATTAGAGTAGAAATAATTTGTTGAATACTTACCATGTGCAGGCACAAGTCTCATAATTCTTCCAATAACTGTAGGAAGCAGGTACCTTTTTAAATTCAGTTAAACCATAAGAAATTGCTTTTTTGTAGGTCAAAATATGTGTTACTCATATTTTCATAGCAAAACTAAGCCCCAGGTCACACAGTAAATAGCAGAGTTACTGCTCAACGTAATCTCTCACCGTGACAGATTTCTCCCACTTTCAAAATAAGAAAGATATGCCTTCCCAGCAGTTTGTGAATGAAATAAATTCAGATAGAAAAAACTACTCCCCAAACAACCTCTGGTTAGCTACAAGTTCAACAGGGACTAATTGCAGGCTGAGGTTCAAAGAAGTCAATGTAATACTATCCTGTATTACTAGAAACAAGAGTATCTGTCCACATCAAGAAAAAGAAAAGTATTATGCTTGTCCTGATCAGCCATGTCCAGAACACTGACAATCTGGATATCCTTGGGGCGAATGCTCAGAAAGGAGACGGCTCTGATATTAGGTTTAAACAGGAAGCCATTCATGAAATTGGGAATATTTACCAACTAAGGGAAATCCACAACAGAGAAAACAGATAAAAAGAACAGCCAGAATAAGTAGGACAAGTAATGGATTTGAAGGGAGAAGATGTGGGTCTGAAGGTAAAAACTGTGGACACAGATATTCACAAATATCACTTTGGCTACTTAATCTGAAACATAAGTTTCTTCTTCCATAAAATGCAATTAGCTCTAGGCCTATATCAAGAGTAAGTGTGACAAATGTATTATCATTAGTATATCTGAAGTGTTGTCACCTGATGAGAAAGGCTGAACTGAACTGACTCTGAGATGTGTCGGAGGACAGGACTGGAAATCAAACTGGAAGTTACATGGGCAGATATCATTTTCCTGGGGCTGTCCAACATTGAAACAAGCTGCTGTGTGACCATTTATCTGGTCTCCTGTGCCCAAGAGACTGGCTAAGTTAAGTAAGGATGTCACAGAGTACATTCTTACATTGCATCCTTAAGTTTTTTCTCAAATCTAAGTTCACAATTAAATTTAAGCCATTTCCAAAAATAAAATTTGCACTCAAAGGATAAATACTTCTTATTGTTAAGAATAGAGAAAACAGTTTCAAAAGGTAGCACCAAGATAATTACAGACACACTGTATTAAAAAAAAAAGTGAAGGAAACATTCATTTGTGGTAAGATTTAGTGTAGGGGTGTTCTAATGAGAAAGAGAGGGATAACTCTATTCAAACAGTTATTATTTAGCTAAACACAAAACTTCAGTTCCATTTTTACACTGGCATTTAGAAAACATCAGAACAGTTTACTTCTCACAATCACAACTGTTCTCTCCCCATGCCAATCCCATCCACTTCCTCAGGTATGCACAGATTGATACCAAAACAGTCTACTTGAACTTTTAAAAATGTTCATCTGTGACATCTGATATTTTTATAACTGTCTAATAGGTCCCTGCAAAGCAATCATAACTTTCACTTGGGGGCGAGCTGGGAGGGTCAAAGCAATAGGGAGCTCTCGCTAAAGATACAAAACTTATATTTTATTCACTGCTTCACCTTATTCTACCAAGACTCAGGTAAAATCTAACAAGCAGTCTATGATAGATTTCAACCACCAGGTGGCACAATTTTAGAAGAAAAAAAAAACCCACTGAGCACAAGCAATATATGAACTCTAGTGAAGAAAAGAGAGGAAACATTCTAATAACACATTTCAGCAGATCTATAATCACAAGAAGGAAACCCTATATTTTAATGCCACTAAGGCTTTCTTTAGAGAGATTTTGCTATTGTGTGGCTTCACCAAAAAGAAATTCACACTACAGTTACAATTTCTAATGTCATTTTAAAACAAGGCCAGAAAAGTCTCTTGTTCAGAGCCTAAAGAATCTGTTCTCCAGGAAAAAACTGCTCTCTAAAACATATTTTTTTAAAGTCTAATTTCAGAAAGCTCTGGAATTAGTTAAATTAGTATCTCTCTACTTCAAACTGCACAGTATTGAGCAGAAGTAGCAGACACAACAGGGCACGACCTTCTCCACTCACTTTTTCTTACACAGCTGCAAAATGACCAAATCTAAACAGAGGCTTCTGAGTTGGTGACAAGTGCTCCGAGTACAGACCATGCCCCTACTGCTACTGACAGCAACCTCAGGTCATTTCTTAAGGCATGGGCCCAGTTGTAGCATTCCCTGAACTAGGATTTATCACCACTTTCTTGGTGCTGAGCCCTCTGTCAAACCACCTGAAGTTCAGAGCAAAAAAAAAAAAAAAAACTAGTCCATAACCATCAAAGAACACACAGGTTAGTAGGGGAAGAGATATTCTCCTAAATGCACACAGTATATGCCCAATAAATGTTTCCTGAATGCAGTATTATCACAGATTTGAGCACTGATTCAGACCTTAACATAGTTTTTGTTTTTTAAAAAAGGTGGGAAATGAGGGTCATTTAAAATCAACCAAACATGTGCAGCAGCCTGTATGAACAGGAAAGGAGACACAAGGAGTGTCTTACAACAGAATTCCTTTGTCTTTGCAACCTTCCTTTATGCATTTAAATCAGTACTAGGATTTACTTAACTCTTCACAAACCACTTATTGTGAAACAAGCTCGGTCATCTTTAAACCCGATAAAAGGGATCTGCCTGTCACTTTCCTTGAAAAGTCTACTGATGAGGATCTTACTGGATTCTCACATCGCAGGACAGACTGGTGGAAATTTTCACTGCAGCTGAGAGGCGCCCTAACAGGCTCCCACAAGCAAACCCTGAACTCCTGGATCCCCAAGAGCAATAACAATCATACATCGTAGGGAGCGCTCGCCGTGTCAGACACGTTGTTAAGCGCTTCTCACAACCTAGGCGCTGGATTACACCCATTTCTCAGGCGAGGAAACCGAGGAGGGAGAAGCCTGCCCAAGGTCACCAACTTGAGAGTTGTGAGGCAGAGACAGAATGTCTACCCCGAAGCCTGCTCTCAACTACCAGCACATCCTCAAAAAATGCCCGAGGGCGGAGAGCTCAAGTCGACCTATACCGCCCCGGGAAACCCAGCGTGGCGGTCCCGACCCCCGAGGCCGGCGGGAAGTCACGGCAGGACGGGACACGACGGGGCGCGACCGTGAGAGGGACCTGAGGGGGGCCCGGTGGGTGTCCCGCGGCCTCCCCGCACAACGCGGCCAGGAAGAGAGCGCGCCCGGACCCCCAAGACTCACCCGACTAGTGGCCACACCCGGAGACCGGAACAGGTATTCACCGGCGAAGACTCTGCGCCTCCAAACGCGAGGCCTGGACGCCGGAGCCGGGCCAGCTCCGCGAGGCTAAGGCAAGGCGCCCTCCACTGCTGACCCTGCTCTGCCAGCCCCCGCCGCTCGCCGCCTCAGGCGCCTGCGCCGCCCTGCCTGGACGAGCCCATTTTCAGGAGTTGTGAGGGGAGGGAGAGCGAGTCCGCCGAGGCGCCGCAGAGCCTAAAATTGAAGGGGAACCGACAAGCCAGATTTCGTGGCTGGGGTTAAAGCACTCAAAAAATATTCTCTGCTGAGAAGAGTGAGGCAGGGCGCTCGGCGCGTTTCACTTCTGTCGCTCTCCTCACACGGTCCCCTCTGTCGAGGGTACAGTCCAGAGTTGGCGTCCCCCCGGTGGGCGGGGCTCAAGCACGGCGGGAACTGCAATTGGTGGTTTTGAAGGCGCAGCGGGCGGGAACAGTCGATGAGGAGAGAGCCGGCCGGCGATGTGGGACGGTAAGAGAGCCCGTGGCGGCGTGGGATCGGGCGGGATGTGGCGGGAGCCTAGAAGAAGCCACGTCCCACGACTCTGAGGCTACCCTCTTGTGACTGCCACGGTCCCCAAGGTGAGGGACTAGTCCTTGGTCTTGGGCCTGAAGCGGGGGAACTTCGGTTGAGGCTGAGGCGAAGAGGGCGGAGAAGCTGGGTCGTGACGTCACATCCGCCCTGCTGGGGCGGGGCCTTACGTAGGGCCTGCGTCACGCGGGCGCCGCCCAGAGCTGTCAAGTGCTAAACTCAGCGTTCCGTTGCTGCGTCCCTCAGAGTTGGGTGTTTTGATTTGGGGATAACCTTGGCGTCCGTCCTTTTTAGTCTCGCATTACTCCTGCTCCTTGTGGCAGCTCTTCGGCGGTGTATATTTACAGGGACCTTTTTGGTCATGCGCTCATTCAGTTGTTATATCTCGTGTACCTACTATATGCGAGACTCTGTGCCACGCGCAGCGAAATGGGAAGAAATTAGATAATCACAGGGAATCAGAAGAGTTTATTCAAGGGTTTCCAGTTTTATTGATGAGGTTGCATTCCCTCCATTCCCTCTTCCAGAATTCTTTACAATGACATTCCCAAACTTTAGCCAGAATTAAGACTAATTGTAAAAATGCAGAAATCTCAAGCACTTCCCCCGCATTCCCCTCCCCTCGTTTAAATCGCTGGGCTCAGGAGTCTGCGTTTTAAGAACCACCCCCCACCTTCAGTGTTTTTGATGGGGGACGTTGGCTTGATATTGTCACTGGCTGTTGAACCCTAATCATTCCCAGGTTGTTTATCTCCTCAGGCACGGCTTCTTAGGGAGAGTATCTAATACTTTGGGGCTTCCTATTCAACAAGTATTTCCACTAAGACAGTTCTTGGGCTGAAACTGTTCTAGATTCTAGGAAGGCAGGTGTGAATAAGACAAACATAGTTCCTGCCCTAGTGGAGCTTAATCATATAATATATAATCATATAATAAATCATATGCCATTCAACAAACGCTTAAATGGTAGAAATAACTCATAGCCACGATCCTTTTAGGGGAATCTCTTCTGTTTGTCCTTGTAAATCCCGTAGTCTTGGTGGAAGCGGATGAGATTGACTGACTGACTTCTGCTTCTTGTCATAAATACGGCCCTCCTCAGCTCCTCCTCTGGGCCTTTTCACTCTCCTCTCTGGCCTGTCTGGAGGCCTCCTTCTCCCCTTGATGGCCCCAAGGCTTTTGCACTTGCTATTCCATCTGCCTGGAGAGCTCTTCCAGCAACCAGCCACATGGCTCACTCTTCCTCCCCCAAGAATTGGCTCAGATGCCACCTTCTCTCAGGCCTGCTCTCCATTCCCCTCTTCCCCCACCCATTCCCAGCCTGCTCCATATTCACTGCTACTAGCTTCCTAACATTGCTCCCTTTTCTCCTCAGCGCTTACCACTTTTAACGTTTTTTTTGTGATTTTCCTGTTGCCTGTCTCTCCCAGCTAGGAAGGACACTTCCTACTGACAGGGATTTTTGTCATTTTTGGTTAAAGCTCTATACCCTGTGCCTAAAAAAGTGCCTGGCTCTCATGGGTGCATAGTAATTTGATACATGAATAGGTAAATGAGTGAATGAATCACTTATTATTGCTATCAAAAGATCAAAATACTCTAGCCAAGAAAGAGAGAACATTAATTTTTAAAAACCTTAAAATATGTTTAAAGGTACACTTAAGAGAAAATCCTCTTGTTGAAATACTCTGCAGAATACCTGAAAATTTTGGGTGTTTGACCTACAAATCATAATTCTGGCTAAAATTATGATGCTGAAAGTTCACTAAGTTGTACTTTTGTGTTTGCTTAATACTTTGTTGTGTTGTTTTTGTTTTTATTTTTATTAAAGTGCCAAAGAGATGGATGAAACTCTTGCTGAGTTTTTCAGGAGGACCATCTTGAAAATCCCAATGACTGAAATGATGACAGTCCTAAAAACCTGGAATTTTTTGTCTGAAAATCAACTGCAGACTGTAAACTTTCGGCAGAGAAAGGAATCTATTGTTCAGGACTTGGTTCTGCTTTGTGAGGTAACAGTGTTCAAAATGATTAACCTTGAATACCACGCTACCTTAGGTTTTTCTCTTTCTTTCCTTTCCTTAGTCCAAAAGAGATTTAAGTTGCTCTAGCCTGTGACGTGAGGAGGGTTCTGTCCCACTATAGTGGAAAAGGTGCTAATTTTTAATTGGATTTTTCAACTTAGAAAGAATGCTTACAAATTAGTGAGAAAAAAAAAGTGACTACCAAGGGAGAAGAAATAGACAAAGAAGTTAAAATAATGAGCAAACTATCAGATTGTCAAAGATGAAAAGATAATACTCAAATATGTTGATCAAGTTATGCAGAAAGAGACATTCTCTTTCACATGTATTTATTTACTTATTTGCTTTTTATTTTAAAGTGATTTCAGGCTTTCAGAAAAGTTGCAAGTATAGTACAAAGAATTTTACTATACCCTTATATACCCAGTATATCCTTTCCTCATTCATCTTTAAATAAATATACTTTATGACCCAGCAATTCCACTTCTGGATATTTAAATATATAGAAAACATAAAAATTAAGGAGGTATATATGATGTAATTGATAAACACTTGTATATCTAGTTATATATAAATGGTTACATGTAAATAAAGATGTTAACTAGCATTATTTACACACAAAAAATTGAAACTAACTATACTTAGGAGATGAGATAAATAATGATACATCCACTTAACAAAATACTCTTCGATCATTAAAAAGAATAAACTAGATCTTTATGTATAACATTAAAAGAAACTATATACTATGTGAACATACAAATGTGTATGTATAGAGTAGTAGTTCTCAGCTGAGATGGTTTTGCTCCCAGAAGACACGATGTCTGGAGATGTTTCTGGTTGTCAAAACTGGGAGTGGGAGCTGCTGGCTTCCAGGGGATAGAGGCCAGGAATGTTCCTTTACATTCTAGGACAGCTTCCACAACACAGATGTGTCTGACTCAAAATGTCACTCAAGCCTAGTTGAGAAACACTGGTATAGAGGGGGTCTGGAAGGATACCACTGATTGAAAAAACCAAACAAAGTTAAAAGTGATCAATGAAGAGTAGATCGTGGGAGAACAGTTGTGAGAGCCTGTACTGGGACACGAATCAGAAGGCATATTTGTTACTTAACAGAAGAGCATAGGTGGGAGACACGTTGTCAGTACAGTTTTGAGAGGGCCCTCATAGTCTGTCCTAAGCAACCCTAAAATGTGCTGTAGATGGAGTGGAACCAAACCTGTCACCATAATTACTAAAAGTATTATTATATTCTCTTTCAGGAGAATCGTGCGAGTCTCAATGACGCAGCCCTTTTAGACATAATTTGTAAGTCTTGGTGATTTGTATTTACACTTAACCAGTCCAGTTTCATCAGAGAGGCAGTTTTGTATGTGATGGCTCAGATTTTAGAGTCAAGCTGACCTGGTTTCATATTTCAGCTCTGTCACTTACCAGTCTTGTGTCCTTTGCCAAGTCACGTCACCTTTTTCTAAGCTTCAGACTTTTCCTAACTCAAATGGACATAATAACAACCTGTATTTCACAGGGTTGTTATGAGGGTTAAGTAAGATAAGCCTTGAAAAGTTCTTAACACAGTAATTGGCACAAAATAAGCACATAGTAAATATTTGCTAGGCTTTGTGTTATTGCTAACAGAATCTGAAAATATATTTCTGAGAATTTGTTATAATCACAGTGCCGCTTAAGTACTCTTAAGTTTGTAAGGATAATGCTGACTGGACTTGCGCATGGTGTGGTCAAGGGATACTGAGAGAGAGAGGCAGGCATGACTCCGGGGTCTGCATGTGCCCCTAGAAGGAAAGTGGACCCCCGACTGAGACAGTGGACACTAGAAGTGGACCAAGCTTGTCACAAAGATCATGGGTTAGTCTCCGATGCATACTATTCGAGGAAATGTCTGCATTTGTACTTAATTCTTTGCCATTTATCATGAACTTCTGCATGGTGTTTAAAAGAATCATTATCAACAAAAGATGATTCATCTCCATTATTATTATTATAATAACCTTATTCAGAGATGATTTAGCAGGCCATCTGAACTCTGAAACACAGAACCAAGGAAGAAAATGCCAGAAAAAAACAAAACCCTTTGGATGCTGTCTTTAAGGGCAGACATCACATTGTACCTGATTACAGCTGTTTTAGACAAAACTAGATAATCAAGATTTCTCAGGCCATCGCCATAAACAGACTGGGATAGGGAGAGAACACCAAGGCACCAAAAAGGGGAAGAAAAGAAAAAGACACAGGGCACGAAAAATAATAGTTCAAAGGCACAGCACGTTGGTGCCCTCGAGTATTGGAGCCCACAGTACCTCTTTTTGGGGTGCAGAGCACCTTGGGCCTAGACACGGATGCAGATGGGAGTCAGCACAGGGTCCGAGTAAAGCCAGGATGATGATGTGTTGGGACTGAGCTCAGTAACTTACTGGATCCATTTTTAATCCAAAATACTCTTTAAGTTTGTAACTCCTAAAGGGTTACATACATTCATACATTCTGTATCATACATTCATCCATTCATTCAGTCAGTCATCAAATGAATATTTTTAATGCC